TGCAGAGTCCAGAACAGGATAGAGATACACATCCAAACTTCCCCAAGGTTCAGCAGAGTTTGGAACTGGGAACGGTAGTGGACAGAGATGGGGTCAGCTGAAAAGATCATTTCCAACTCCCAATTCCGAATCTTTATAGATGTTTGGAGGTCCGGTTTTAGTTTGGACCCCATGAGAAATGTAGTGAATGATCATGGACTCTTGGTGAAGGCTTTTACTCAGATCTTTATTAATTTGGATGCTTATAAAACTCAAACAAAAGATTAACGTTACCCAGATCTTCCTGGTGCAGGTCTGTGAAATCTTAAGATCAATTATTGATTAATGTAGGGCAGGTGCTTTCTTTCAACTGGGAAGAAAATGTAACCAGAAGCACAAGTTACACTTCTTGTCCTCTTGAAAGGAAATGTTATTGGTGATTAGATCAGGAGAACAAGGATCTTAGATTCCATTTCTACTAACTTCCTGGGTAACCTTGGGCATGTTACTTGACCTCTCTACACATTAGTTTATCCACATACAATACCACCTTGAGGTAGGTAAGTGAGTCTTAATTAATACTGAAATATCCAGAGAGTAGGCTTTATATAAATGTAAGGTAGTATTCTCTCCTTCATTCACAAAGGCAACTACAAGCTACCTTGCACGGAAAGAGGCAGTGACTTAACAGAGCTCTGACTACAAAGAGCAAGTATGCTGTGAAAATAGAAACACATATGTTAAAGCTGACCCTAAGCAGTGTGTTGCACCCAAATACTTATTAAAAGGTTAATAGATATGACTGGATGTACACTGATATGGTCTGCATTTTGATTACACACGGGCAGTTATTAAATATCTCCTTTAGAGAATTCATCTCCAAAAGCCAATGTTGCTTTTTCATTTTGAACTTTGATGAACTGTCTCAATTCCGACTCTCACATCTGCTGAGCTGCAATTGACTGAAGACCGATGCCTCTGAAGGATAGAGGAAAATCAATATGAAATGTCAAGGGAGAGGTCAAATTGAACTGGTTTTTGCAGTTGGCTTGTATACGCGCTGAGGACTAAAAGGACATTTCAGCAACTGAACAAAGGGGGATACCAAAGGAGGGTTTCTGCTCCTGAAAAGTCAAGAAACTGAATTTTGTTTGCTTCTTAATTGTATTAGGAATCTCAGGTGGGAGCTGATCCCACAGGATAGTGAGACAGTGCAAAGAAACAGTGGCATTTAGGGAAACTGCTGTTCAAAAACTTAAGCCCTCCATATAGAAATACAGTTTTCTTCCCAATCTGCTTTTTTTTAACCTAACAATATGTTGTAGATATGCAGCCATAATCATGCTCTAGCAAGATCAAAAGCATTAGTTTGCACTTTATTTCTCATCACCTCTGGGAGATTAGATCCTGAAATATGCTGAGAAAGTACTGTCTGGATCTAGTTTATTAGGGTTAGGACTCAATGGCACCAAGTCTGTGCAATTTGTTCTTGCAATAATATTCTCACATCTTGGATGCTAGAAATCTTCTGAGATTCTTGTAAGATATGGAACTGGAAAATAGGCCCCCCTCAGAACCAGAACTACAGAGACAGATTCGGATCTAGATTTTTCAAAGAGGTTTGAATTCCAACTTATGGCCTGTCTCCAATAACAGTTTTGTTGTGTTTTATTAGTCAATGAAAGCACACGTGAGCTTCTCAGGTCACTAAG